AGGGGATGGTCCCAGAACTCTGAACCACATATAAAGGAATACTTAGAAGGCTGGAAGGCTCACAGCTGGGGGAATTTGTGGCAGAAGCAAGAAATCTATTGCTTTCTAGTCCAGGATGCTCGGCTGCTCCAAGAGCCGCCATCTTAGGTAAGACCATGTGGGGGAAGGATCGGAGCGGCCACAGACGCCTAGAGGAACCACTGAGATAAAGGTGTGGACATTCTTTTCTTTTGGTATCTGTTCATTGGTCCCTTGCTGCGCACCTCCATTCTGGTGACTATAGGAGTGCCTGAGCTAGTGGGCACCCCAGCCCCACCCTCAGAGGGTTCTACTATGCATGCGCACAGATCTCCTCGAAATGTAAAGAGACAGTTTCCAATTAAAACCAAACAGCCACAGCCGGCCCTGAACTGTTTCCAACTAGAAAAAAAGGCCTGAACGGGGATTGTGGAGCGGGACAAGCAGACAATAGAGGAAATAGGCAGAAAATTAAATCCTAAGTTACATCAAAACAACCAACAGTGGTATCTTGAAACTTCTCAGTAAGAAGAGTGAAAAGGGAAGCCCATTTCCTGATCATATCTACCTGGAGGCATTCAGAAAACATAAAAATACCAAAATACATACCCATCTAAGTACTAAGTCCACAGATAACCCCTGAAGATGCCCAAAAAACAGAAGCACATGACCATATCGTCACATGTCCAGAAATGAGATAAAGTGACTAAGGCAAATGACCTGGAAGGAGACCTATACTGAAAGATGGGCAGGCTTTGGAAATGCCTGAGAAGGAATTCCTAAAAATGATTATAAAAGGTACCAAAACATTATATAATGCTGTTGAGAAAAATAAGCAGGAAGTCAGGAAAGTGCTACAGGAACAATCAAATAAGATAGACAGAGCAATTCAAAACCTACAGAAAGAGGTCCAAACAATTAATAATAGAGTATCAGAAATGGAAAATACATTGAAAGGGCAAAGGAATAGAATTGAAGAGATAGTAGCTAGAACTAGTGAACTAGAAGATAAATCTCTCAACACTACTAAGATAGAAGAACAAATACAAAAAAGGATAAAAAAAAATCCGAGGAAGGCCTAAGATTCATGTTGGATAACATGAAGAGGAATAACATAAGAATTATTGGCATTCCAGAACAGGAACAATCAAACAAGCCCATAGAGGAGAAAATTGAAGAGCTTCTGGAAGAAAATTTTCCTAACATCCTGAAAAGTGAAAAGATAAGCATTTAAGAAGCTCAATGAGCCCCAGAATGGATAGACCCTAAAAGACAATCACCAAGACATATAATAATCAACCTCTCCAAAATCAAAGATAAAGACAG